GAGGGGAAGAAGGGAGAAGAAAGAGAAGAGAGTATATAAGAAGAGACTTTGGGAGGAGTCCTTTTGCAGGACACAACCATTCATAACAATCTGGAGAAGCTCTTGTTTGTATTGTATCTCTTGTCGGTGGGAGTCTGGGTTGCTGCCAATGTCTTGCCTGTGAGTTGTGTGTCAGCCAACAGGATTGTAATGCTGTGAATAAAGCGTGGCTAACAGTAAGCCTGTGTCAGCGTTAATCATCGGACGGAGGGGGTCAGAACAGGTACACATCCTTGGGTTTCTTGAGTGTGTCCTGGAAGCAGCCACCATTTTAAGTGGGCCCTGGATTAGTCCCTGAATCATGCGGTGGACTTGTGAAAGCTGCTACTATTTTGCCACATTGTCCACATTATTATGCAGAAGAGGAACAAGCCCCTCTAAGCTATTTTGTTACCTTAACATGAGAAAAAAAATGTACAATAGAAAATGTCTCATTTTTAAAAATGCATTATGTTAGAATGATCAGAAGCATTTGACATGTAAAAAATGGCTATTGGCAGGATGCTCAGATTTGTCTCAAACTGTGAGATGGGCAGCGATAAAGTTTAATAATAAATGAATTTAATAATAAAAAGGTAATGTAAAGCTCATTTCACAGCTGTTCCTCAGCGATGAGGACTCCACACATACAGTGGGTTTTTAACGCACTACATTATTAATGTCAGCTTTGGAAGCCACATTAATACTGGAAGCTTCCATGCTGCTACATTTTTGTGCATGGGAAATTAGGAGGGGGGGACTTAGTAGAGGGAATGTAGTTAGACATAATAGCATTCTTCTTTTCAGTCAAGGTCATGGTATTCCTGCTCTTGGAGGAGGAGAGATTGAAGTGATGTCTTGAGTTGGGACGGATTGTGATTGGACCTTGTGATGGACTGATGGGTGCAGGGGTTGGGTTGGGTTCTTTGATTTACTGAGGAAAAACCTGGAACTCTCGGATTTGGGTTTCCCCAGATGTGTCAGTATAACTACTCAAATAAAAGGAAACTTTGAGAAAATGCCTGCCTCTGAGTTTGTGATTGGGGTCAGGTTATTCTGGAACACTGACAGTTAACTTGTAATCTCTCTCTTGTGCATTCTGCATCACTGCGACCAATCTGTCTTTCTCAGCTTCCCTTCCTTCCTCATTATAAATTTAGAATTTCCTTTTCAGCTTCAGTTTCACTCAGGAGAGAAACCTTATAATTGTCCAGATTGTGGGAAAAGTTTGATTGGAATTTTGAACTGGTGATACACCAGAGGACTCACACGGAAGAGAGAAACCGTATGAATCTTCAGTTTGTGGGGAAAGTTTCAGTCAGAATTACAAACTGGCAATACACCAGAAGACTCACACAGGAGAGAAAGCATATGATAATCTAGATTGTGGGTTCTCATCTGATGAGACATAAGATGATTCACAAAGGAGGAGGAAAACTATATGAGTGTACAGATTGTGGGAAGAAATTCTTTGGGAGTTCAGACCTGTTGATACATAGAAAAGTCGCACAGGAGAGAAACTGTAAGAGGATCCAGACTGTGGGAAAGATTTTAGCACTAGGTCTAGTCTTATAAATCATGTAGATATACATCCATGGGAGAAACCATTCAAATGCCTGGACAGTGGACTATGTTTCACAAAAAATTATTTCCTTGCTGTGCACAAGAAAATTCAAATTATTCAGGAGGGGATAGCAATAGCAATAGCAGTTAGACTTATATACCGCTTCAT